TACTCCATGACCCTAAACTATGCAGCCTAGGTCCATACTGCATGACCCGAAACTGCTCAGCCACGGTCCATACTGCATGATCCTAAACCGCTCAGCCACGATCCATACTGCAAGCCCCTAAACTACTCAGCTACGGTCCACACTGTATGACCGTAAACTGCTTAGCCTCGGTCCATATTCCATGACACTAAACTGCTTAGCCTCTATCCATACTGCATGGCCCTGAACATTTCAGCCATGTTCCATACTGCATGACCCTTAACTGCTTGGCCACGGTCCATACTACATGACCCTAAACTGCTCAGCTTCGGTCCATACTGCATTACGCTAAGCGGCACGGCCATGTTCCATACTGCATGACTCAAAAAGTCTCAGCCACGGTCCATTCTTGATGACCCTAAACTGCTCAGCCTCGATCCATACTCCATGACCCTAAACTGCTCAGCTTTTGTCCATATTACATGACCCTAAATTGCTCTGCCTCAGTCCATACTGCACAACCCTAAATCGCTCATCCTCGGTCCATACTACATGATACTAAACTCCTCAGCCTTGGCCCATACTGCATGACCCTAAACTGCTCAGTTTTCATCCATACTGCAACACCCTAAACTGCTCAGACTCGGTCCATACTGCTTTACCGTAAACAGCACAGCCTCGGCCCATACAGCATGACTAGAAACTGCTCAGCCTCGGTCCATACTGCATGACCTTAAATTGTACAGCTTCAGCCCTGACAACATGACCAAAAATTGCTCAACCTTGTTCCATACTGCATGACCCTAAACTGCTCAATCTTTGTCCATACTCCATGACCCTAAATTGCTCACTTTCTGTCCATACTGCATGACCCTGAACATCTCAGCCTCGTTCCATACTGCATGACCCTTAACTGCTCAGCCACGGTCCATACTGCACGACCCTAAACCGCTCAGCCTCGGTCCATACTGCATGACACTAATCTTCTCGGCCACGTTCCATACTGCATGGCCCAAAACTGCTCAGCCACGGTGCATACTTGAAGACCCTAAACTGCTCAGCCTCAGCCCATACTCCATGACCCTAAACTGCTCAACCTTTATCCATACTGCATGACCCTAAACTGCTCAGCCTCGGTTAATACTTCACAACCCTAAATCGCTCATCCTCGGTCCATACTGAATGACACTAAACTGCTCAGCCTTGGTCCATATTGCATGACCCTATACTGCTCAGCTTTGGTCCATACTGCATGACCATAAACTCCCTAGCCTTGGTCCATACTGCATGATGTTAAACTGCTCAGCCTCTGTCCGTACATCATGACCCAAAACTGCTCAGCCTCGGTCCACACAGCATGACCCTAAACTCCTTAGCCTCGGTCCATACTGCATGACCTTAAACCCCTCAACCTCGGTCCATACTCCATAACCATAAACTGCTCAGCCTCTGTCCATACTGCATGACCATAAACTGCTCTGCCTCGTTCCATCTTGCATGACATGTTAAATGCTTAGCCACGGTCCATACTGCATGACCCTCAACTACTCAGCCTCGGTCCATACTGCATGACCCAAAACTGCTCA